GTGACCCCTATGAGGTCACGTGACGATGACGATGACGTCACTAGTGACGTCGCTGTTGACGTCATCAGTGACGATGACGACGACGATGCGAATGACGATGACGTCATCAGTGACGATAACAATGCAGATGACGTCATCAGTGACGTCACTGATGATGTCATTACTGGCGATGACGATGACGATGCCGATGATGTCACTGATGACATCATCAGTGACGTCACACGTCCCATATCGCACCGCGCGGTTACGCCGACGGTGACGCCGACGCCGCTCAAACCGGAAACGGGCGCCTAACGGTACGTTTACACTTGAGGAGAAATACGCTGTCGCGGGAGCGGATCCGCTCGTGGCGGCGGCGGCGACGAGCAGATTGCGTGTATATCTGTTTCCTTCGAGCGGCGGCAGCGGTTCCCCTAACATCCCGTCAAATATGATGAGAAGGCGCGAGAGTTCCCACTAGAGTCACTGTATGCCTTCCCAGAGTAACGAAACTCCGAAGGTTCGTTTGAAAACCGCGGCGCGGGGTTGAAACCGATACTATGGCGCCGCCATCTTGGGTCCGCGCGTCGACAGGGCTATGAAGGCGACAGTGACATGCATTGAGCGTGTTGAAAGAGCTTTGTTTAAACTAGTCGATGGCCTACACAAAAGCTTCTGTGGTGCTGTGAGTAGCTTCCGTAGAGAATTAACATTACATTACATAATTTGCTCTCTACCGAACATTTCTAAACATTAATTCAAGTCGATGTGCTACATACGCGTCTCCCTTTTTGTGTTTTCCTCTGCACTCTGATCTCCACATGCATCCGAGTCCGGACTTGCACAATTCTACTTATTATTGGTATACGCTACACATGCTGAGTAAACTGTTTTGAAGGCTCGAAGTTTTTGTGGAAAATTTCCGCATACGGCCAACCGCATACGGCCAAGACGGCCGCAAGCGCACAACGCAGGCGAGGGCGACCTCCTTATTCCTTCCTGCTGTCGTGCGGAACTGCATCGCTTAGGGCCCAGCCTCATTTTAAAATTTGGTCAAAGCATTCAGACGTTAAGCTGCATCGCTTGTTTTCGTTTGTTAACGCAATTAAACGTTGACGGGTCGCGGCCGTATTCTATGCATGTATGCAGAAGGCCAGCTTAGGAACGCAGCATTTACTTGATTTACCTGTGTAGACATTTTTCTTCGCTTGTAGGTTATATTTTTTCACTACCTAGGTTACTTAAAGGGATACTGAACCAAAGAATTTAGTGCCTATAATAAGTGGCGCACGTTCTTTCCACGAGCCAGCAGCCGCCGGTGTGCGCGAGCACACGCAACGAAAATGATGTCACAGACCTCCATTCGCGGTTAAGAGGACAGTGAAATGCATGGGCTTCGGGCCAAAGGAGAATAAAGGCAGGCTTTCATCTCCACAAGTGAAAGCTCCGTGCTTGTTAGACCAATTAATCGCTTACCCTTTACACCAGAGACGACTGTGTAGCTGAAAAACTTGTCTTTATTCTCCTTTAGTCTGAAGCCCATGCATTTCACTGTCATCTCAACCGCGGATCGAGGTATGTGACGTAATTTTTGTTGCGTGTGCTCGCGCATACCGGCGGCTGCTGGCTCGTAGAAAGAACGCGCGCCGCTTATTATGGACACTAAGTTTGTTGGTTCAGTATCCCTTTAAAAAGCCTCTGACCCTAAAAAAAAATATTTTTTTTTTCATGCTAGGCGTTGAAATGGCATGTCAGGATATTACAAAAAAATTGTTTCACTACAGAGGTCCGTAGTTTTTTTTATAAAAATAGAAATACGAGGCCCAATTCAAAGTTACCGCCAGTGCACTGTGATGTAACAGTGTACCGCAAGGTGTCGGGGCGGTCAGAAGGGAAGCATCGGCGGAAGTCACGTGAGTTGTATCCCTCCTCGTGGTTACCGCAAGCGCGTGTAATATTTTTAAAATATTTTTGTTGTTCTCCGCACCTCCACGAGCGATCCAAGCAGACAAGTTTCCTTTATCTGCTTTTCATCGCTTAATGTTGCTGTAAAAGTAGAAGAAGAGGAGTCAGTGAATTGACGTGATCAACTACAATGCCTAGAAGGTGCTGTGTGAGGGACTGTCCCGGTATTGCAGCAATTGAAGAAGAGATCCCACTGCATGCGTTTCCTAGGGATGGCTGGCATCTTAAGCCTGGAGAGTATACAATGATTCGACGACAACGGTGTCCGAACCTTCAGCAATGCAATTGCGCGTGTCGTACGCAAGCAATCCTAATTTCTGCTAGCGTTCTAAATTTTTTTTCCAAGACTTGATAGCTTCTTTTGCACCCAGTATAGCTCTGTATCATCGGACAGATCGCATGCACTCGTACACTGGCTTGTACTCGCAACGCTTTCATCACTGACCTTACTGACTCTTCGTCCTCAACTTTTACAGCACAGAAACTAATCAACGGTGCAGCGATAAAGAGCTAGGGGAACTGAAACTTCATTTTCTACAATCGCTCGTACAAAGAGCAGAAACAAAAAAGTCTTAGGCACGGTCGCGGAGAGCACGAGGAGTGAAACTCATGTGACTTCCTGCGAACCCACTTTTATTGACGTAGGTCGATGCCTCCCTTCTGACCACCCCAACACCTTGCGGTACACTGTTACGTCACAGTGCACTGGCGGGAACCTTGAATTCGGCCTCCTATTTCTATTTTTATAAAAAAAACTACGGAACTCTTTAGTGAAACAATTTTTTTGTAATGTCCTGACATGCCATTTCAACACCTAGCATGAAGAAAAATGTTTTGGCATGTCAGAGGCCCTTTAAACAATAATGTTAAAAGACGCTTAGTAGTAGGATGCTTTGCCCTCACTGTAATATGGCTATACCAAATGTTATGAACGACAAGCCCATGAATAACAAGTCACCTGTGATACATATTTATTTACTTTGTTTGCATTATCACACAAACAGCTGTTTTGCTTTTTAGCAGTGCAATACATCGCAGGGAAAAAAATACCATACCCAAAACAAAGGCTCACATGTCAGTGTAAAAGGGAGACACCAATGCACTCAGGGAACTAATCTGGATTAGATTTTATGCCAAAACACTATACTAATAAAGAAAGGTATGTACAGTGTGAACGTAATGGATCGGACGCACTTTTAAAAGTCGTATAATCTTTTTTTGTAACCTACGGTACCGTAATTTACCATAAAGATGCAGCTATGCTGATAGGTAGTTGATTCATCTTGTAAAAAATATTGAAGAAAAAGCTTGCAGAAATTAAAAGTTAAAAACAAATCGATAATTTTTATTTTACTGAGATAGAAAAGAACTTTTCTCGGGCAAAAGAGGAAGATAAGTGATGAACAAAGGCTCAATTCCATCGATTGAGGCAAATTTTGATTGAGGGAAGTTTTTCTTCATTTGTTTCACAAAAACAAAATCACTGCCAAGCTGCATCTTCATGGTAAATTACAGTACCGTAGCTCACGCAATAGGTTTATACATTTTTTTAACGTGCATTCAGTCCATTAGGTACACACTGTAAATTTAAATTTCAAAAATCCACGAACAGCAAAAGAACATTTAAAAAAGGATGTCATGTCGCATACAGATGAAGAATAAATACTTTGCAAACATCATTTGACATTCTCTGCTAAAACTTTCATAGCGACGTGCGGCTACCATATTTTGAGCCGGTCTTCATGGAAGCAAGGAGGTTCAACTTCCGCAGATAAAAGCGAAGTCTCACCAAATAAACAAGTGTACAAGCTTGTACGCCAGGTCATGGCAGGGTGGCAATAGCGGCCCAAGATGCGTAGGAATTACTGTTACAGTCAGCTTGTTAGTACTGATCTTCAAGACAACTGTTTTATTCAACCTGAATGTACTCTCCCCATGCTGCAGCAGTTCAAGTGCAATGCGAGAGGGCATAAAGAGGGGGTTGGTTTCGTCTAGTGTGTACGACTTGAGCTCTATCGAAGTGGTGTTTGTTGTCGCACGTGCTTCTTTCAAGAAATCAATGCACACTTCACACAATTTGTGCTTTCTCAGGACAGACCACAAAATATAGCCAGCCAGATAGGCTAGAGACTCGGGTCGAAAACCTCCTTATCCTGCATGGGTGCTGGTGGTGACTGCAAAAAGAATGTCAGATCTACACTGTCGTTAATGGCATAATTGCCATGACGGCTTGGAGAAAGAAACTGTGAGAGGGCAGTCAATCTCAGAGTCAACTTGAACTCCATTGCTAGAGGGATTAGATGTTTGTGCCTCACACACGGGAACAAGTTTTTTAGCGCATCTTGATTGAACAGGCGATTTGGGAAGTGCAAGGAATAGCTAGATTATAGTCGTTCAATGATATATTATTCACGAAGAACTGAAAAGTAACGACAAAAGTAACGTCGTTACTTTCATCGTTATTTTAGAAAAAGTATTAGAACTACAGTTACGAGTTACATTCTGAAAAAGTAACTCGGTACAGCTACAAGTTATCCAAAAAGTAACGAAGTTACAGTAACGCGTTACTACCCAAGACTGTTCCCTACACACCTCCCAGGGAAGGGGGAGGGGGGGTGTACACTTTCCTTGTTTTTCAAAAGGCACCCTCTTATTTCGCAACAACTCTTCTATTGTCATTTCCCTCCCACCCCCTAAAAATTTAGACACCCCCTAATTTCAATTCCTGTGGAAACCCCTGACAGCAACTTTGCGCAAGAAGCATACTACTTGCTCTCCGCATTACATGTTCGCTTAGCATCGGGATTGTTCAGGTATGTTCCCATCCCTAAACGTCACTGGAACTAAAAAAAAAAAAAGACACCCAGTCCCAGTGCCATTTTTGTGAACTCCTTAGCAGCGTAGTCCAAGCAAAGATTGTGTTTCAGTCTTAACCCTTTATTCCCTTAACAGGCGTTACTACTTCTTTCCTCTGATTTATTAAGCTGCATCTCATTATTTAGGTCGGGGTGGGAAGATCAATATTTGAAGTCAACACAGTGTATAGTAGCAACGTAGTAGACTAGGGCACGCCAAGCTTAGTATCGAGGTTTGTGGGCGCGCACCAGGAACTTGGAGTTGCGGAAAGGTGAGCCACCAGCCTCTCTCTCGGCCAACAATTTGGCGCCTTCCTCGGCGACGTCCTTGAGAAGAAGAGGATTCTCGTCTTCTGTCACAAGGTCGGCGAGTCTAATCACTCCCATATGCACTCCTGAAAATGAGAGTAAAAACACGCTTTTTGAAGTTATTATACTGGAAACGTCTGCTGCAGCACTCGTCTGAAAAAGACTCCCTTACTCTAGCCCCTGAAGGCCGAGCGTGGCTTTTAATTCAAACTCCACCACTGAAAAAAAGAAAAAAAAAAGAAAGAAATTTAAACAGGTGGCAGACTGTTCAACCCGTTTGAATCAAACGTGTAGAAAAGTTGTCAATACGTTCGGATAAAATGTAATTATGGGATATGGGTACCCGTTTCATACGGGTGCCCGTTCAACCTGGCACGTGACCACACATTTGAACGCGCCCTTCGGGTAGTCGGTCAAATTATTCGCTAGCCCTAATTGGGTATCGTCTGTAAGGTTGGCTATCTTAAAGTTATTTAATACGTCCCAAAATTGAGAAACCTGGTTATAACATGGAGGAAACCCGTAGAAAAATTATGTTCGCGCCGGTGCTTGCAAATGGGCAGGAAAACAGACACAAACGATTGCTTTCGATTCTTCTAGAAGTTTATTACAACCTATCCCGTAGACAAGTACAACCGTGCAGGCGATTTGTGAAATGTGAAGAGGCAGCACTAAGCTTTTATACAACTGAGAGGATTGCGAAGCAAACAAGAACCGTGATAATTCTAGACTATAGTTTTTATTCCCTCGGCAGCTGGGAAAATATTTTGCCCAAAATTATACCGGCGGACGCCTCTCATGGGTGGTCGCACTCAGTTCATTGAACGACGTTCCATTCACATCTCGCTTCATTGACACGCTGTTTTATCGACTGATTACTTTATGGACAGCTATGATTATTCTTTTTTTGTAGTAAGTCACCCCAGACTGTCGCCGCAAATGGCGTGTGCAGGTGGACCAGGTAGGATAGCATTTTTGTAATGAGCCGTCGCATACTGTTGCCGTGAAACTGCGTGAACGGGTCCGCCGACCAGTGATACAAGCGCAACGAAATGTCCCTACAGCATGCAATTCGCGTAACGAGTGTAGGTGATATGTTAGTGTCGACGAAAGCTGTTAATAAAACTCGCATCCACGAGAAGTTTTCTATGAAACGTGTTTCCATGAAATGTCGGGAGAACAAGAAAGTCAGTATTGTACCGGCAGTTGTCAGATGATTTCAGACATCTAATGAGAGGCGACCGCCGGTAGAATTTCGGGGAAATTATTCTCCCGGCTGCGGGGGGAATAGACGCTGCCTAATACTATAGATAATCTTGTAGAAGTCGCGCAGAAGAATGGTCAATAGTCACCAAGAAGGAGGTTGCACTGCACTTGCCATAATAATAACGGGCTTGAAAGATGTAATCCGAGATATATGTCGACACAGTCACTGCAGGACAACCACAAAACACAAAAACGAGAAAGAAGGAATCGTTGAAGTATCAACATCATGCGGTGCACAAGCTGTCATTTGCCGATCCGAACCAAACCGCAAGAATTCCTAACTCCTTTGAAAAATCGCTTGTTTCCGATATATCCCTAGGACTTTTCGAACGCTCAAAGCTTGAGCGTACATTGAATATCTTGTCGAGAGACATCCTAATAAGACCGCAGGTTAAGGCGGCTGATCGAAACAGCGAGGACGAACGAAGTTTTGACTGCAATAGCCGGGTCCCACTAGCGCGACAGACAGCAACGAACGACAGCGACACACGACAACGAGCGACAGACGACACCGACAGACAGCCTGTTATTCGGAGTCCGCCCTCCCACCTGGGGGACATGACGCAGAACACGGGGGCAAGGAAACTTCTTTCCTAGTGGGACTGGAGTTGTCAACAAAAGACCTCAAAATACACAGACAAACAGAGTCCGGCGACGCGGTATTCGTGTTCTGCTCTTTGGGCAAAAAACGCGCCCACGAACACGGTGAAAGTCGAGACGATTACTTTATTTCGTGATTAAAGCTTCCGCTTCTCTTCATTTGCCGTTGGTGACTTTCCGTAAACAGTCGTGACAATCGACACAAAACTTTTTCCGTACTAGAAATACCCGAATCGTTCCTTTTTTGGGCCGTTCGGAGCATTCTGGGTGAGCGCCACGTACTTTCACGCTGATGTTGAGGATGTTTATAACTTTATATCGAATGATCGCTGGCAGGCGCTCTTTGGTGGACAATACGGCATCCCGATTATCACAGAACGTGATGACAAGTCTCTCGTCTGCCGGAATGGCTTGCCGCGGAACGTCGTGTCCTACTTCGTGGGGTCTTGGTCAGTCCTCGCACATGGGTGTATCCATCCTGATGCAGGGGCGTAGGCTTCGACGTCTTGAAGCACCACCTCGCGCACCAAGCTTTCGCGAGCAAAACCAGTCACAGCAAATTCCCTTTCGGAACACGACCGCCCGGCGCCAGCCAGCAAGCCGCGCCAGGTACTACGTGCAATCGAGGGACCGGAACTGCGGGGCCGGGAACAGGGAGTGGCCGCCAAGGGCTTTTCGTTCCGGGAGGAAGGGTACAAGGATGGGAAGGGAGGCAACAGAAGGTATAGGCTCCTTGCACTGACGTCACATCGCTTACTTTTGAACACCAAGTAAAAGGAGGAGAGGGAAGCTGCTTTTGTAAGAATTTTGAGTGACAGGTTAATCTTCCATAATCTTCTGGGAGGAGAATAGCGACGCCTGTGCAAATCCGGGAGGCATAAAGGAGGATCCTGATAAGAGGGGAGCTCCTTCTCCCCCTCTTTTCTGGAGGGCATCGGAAATGACGTCATGTGCAAGCCACGTATAGGCTCCTTGCACAGGACGTCATTTCCGTTGCCCTCCAAAGAAGAGGGGAAGAAGGAGCTCCCCTCTTATCAGGACCCTCCTTTGTACCTCCCGGCTTTGTACAGGCGTCGCTATTCTCCCCCCGGAAGATTATAGAAGATTAACCTGTCGCTCAAAATTCTTACAAAAGCAGCTTCCCTCTCCTCCTCTTACTTGGTGTTCAAAAGTGTGCGATGTGACGTCAGTGCAAGGAGCCTATACACCAACTCATGTTTACAAACAAACCGGAGCGCCCCTAGCGGACGCCACCGGCGCCGCGCATGCGCGGTAGATGGTGGGCAAGAAGCCCGCAGTCGCCCATAAACAAACCATTGAACTGCGTTGTTTTCGGCGTCGGTGGAAGTCCCCGTGCTCTCTTTCGCGTTGGAATTGTTGATTCTACGTCCTCCTAACAATGTCTGACTACTTTAGCGGCTTTAGCAAAATTAACGAGGCAAAACTTCGCGTGAATAATGTGACTTGCAGCGATTCATTTCACGTGGACGCCGCAGCATGGGCGCTAAAGCCTGACTCGCACGATGAGATTCTGCTCGCTATTTTCAGTCGCGACGTCGCTTGGGCTGCAAAAGCGTGGACCCTGAGATGGTGGACGTCGATACTGAAAACCGCAAGTAGAATCGGGCATTACAAGTCAAGGATGGCCACTGGTAACAATGATCAACATCTTCTTGTATCTACTGTTTACACTTACTTACCCCAACCAACCTTCAAGAGTGTTTTGAGGTTTGCACTTAGTTCTTATCGCAATTACCGTACCAACGCTTGGTTTCCGGGTCGCTGTCGTTTGAACGAGCTGACGACAAAAAGCAGAAAAGTTTGAAAGAGCAGACGACAGTTCGAACGCTTGCGCAATGGAGTGCGGGCAAGAAGCACCGCTTCCCGCGTCAACAAACCATTGAAATGTCACGTTGTCGGCGTCTGTGTGAGTCTGCCTAGTCTTTTTCGCGTTGGAATTGTCTATTCTACGTCCTCATACCAATGTCTTAGCACTTTAATCGCCTGAGCGAAATTATTAAGGCTCGTTACACCGCTAAACTTTGCGTAAATAATTTGACGTGCGGCGATTCATTCAAGTGAACGCCGCAGAATGGACGCCAAAACCATGATGAGATACTTCTAGACATTTTCGGTCGCGACGTCGCTCGTGCTGCAAAAGCGTAGAAGGTAGCGGCAATGATCGACGTCGATACTGAAATTCGGAAGCGGGAACAGACCAAGCGTAACAAGTCGGTGATGGCCACTGGTACCAATGATCAACATCTTGTATCTACTCTTTACACCGAGCTAGCTTAAATCTTTTGAGGCCTGCAATTGCTTCTTATTGCAATCACCGGGTCAAGGTTTGGTCTACGAGCCGCTTTTGTTTGAACGAGCAGACGACAAAAAGCAGGCTTGTAAGAGCAGACGAAAGTTCGAACGATCATGCTGCCGTGTGAATTTGAAGACGCACTAAACCCGCGGGTGGCCTGGACAACGTGGCGGTTTTCTCTCATTCATGTTGGGACAAAACAAATAGATCTGGCGACCACAAAGTGTTGCCCGCGCAAGCAATCGTAGTTCGACAGCGCCTGGTTCACCCTTTTCACGGCTACTATCCACGTACTCGAACGAACGGAGCGGGCAGAAACACATGAAAACTGATCTTCAAACCTTTCCCGACTTTTTTGGTACAGCCCCCGTCGCAGCATTTTGACGAGGATGCAGGTTTTTTGTGTGGTTTCTCCGAAAACAACACAAGAATGCATGTCTCGCACGGCGACTTCTGCCCACCGCTCCAGACCGGAAGTGCGACCGACGCGCCACCACCGCAGCGTGACGTAGGAGAGTTGAGTTCGTGTATAAACGGGCTTGTCTCCGAGAGATGTTCCTCAGTGGGACAGCTTGCTGCGCTTCAAGTCCAGCGACAGACAAGAACTGGTCCGTCGTCGATCGTTTGTCGGCGCTTGTCGGCGATTGTCGCGGGTGTTGGTCGTTGCAGTGGGACAGCATCGGCGACACGGAACTTTGTGGTGTCGTCGGACAAAAACCGGTGTTTGTCGGGACGAGGCTACAACGGACACAAGCAGACAACGAAACAAGCGGCTGCCAGCGCGCGCGCTTCCGGATCTCGGAGATCAGCGTGTAGCGTAGCAGGCGCAACAGTCGCGCGCGCGCGGCTGGTGCCCTCCTCTTCCTCGGGTCATCTGAGGGAGGGGACCGGAAAGGAGGGAGGAGGCGTGGTGAAGGCGCAGGACACCGGGACACACCGAACACTCTCCTCAGGAATTTCAGGCACAAACACGTAACGCTTGTTTGTGGAGCTGCTGTGCCCAGCACGATGTGTTTGCAGCGGGGAGGAAGTGACCCAGTGGGCTAACGCGTCTCAGCTCGGAGCGTGGAGCGAAAGCTTCCGCTGGGAACCTCCTGGGTGCAATCCCCGCCGCCCCCGCCCGTTTCGATCTGGATGAGTTTCGTACCGGCACGCGTTCGTGTGATCACTACTGCGTGATGCACGTTAAGAACCCCAGGTTAGCGGTTGTACTGCACTGGCTAAATTTCTCATCTACAGCTAAGAGACCGATTACTCGTTGAGGCGCATCTCCATCAAGGCTGTATAAACATAAAGAGCAAACCAATTTTTTTGTGTGTGTTTGCAGCCTCGGAGAGCAGGCAAATCACGCGCATTGGGCACGCTTGAACGCAAGAGATAACGCCGGCTAGAAGCAGAAGCTCGCCTTGTGCCCGAGCGAAGAAAGCACTGAGCGCGAGCTCGTCGTTTCACTGCTGCTGAAGCGCGCCTGCTCTCGCAATGCTCGATGTTCTTGCTGCCACGATGTCGCGCTTCATCTGACTTGGTGAAGCGGAGTCTAGAAGTATATTCTTTCGCGCGGTTGCGTCCTCTGCGAGAGAGATTTGAGCTGAATAAGTAAATTGAGGCAACAAAGAACGCCAACGTTTTATAAATTCTGAAAAAAAAAAATCGGCTCACAAACGTTGCGCGTTTACGTAAAAAAATTGTTATAGCAGTTGCAGTATAAGCGAACATCAGCGCAATTCAAATTTAAATATAATTACTTGCATTACGCAGACGATTTGAAATCGATGAACCGTCGCTCCCGGCTTTCCGGAAACATAGGCTGCCACGGTTGAAGCGGGTGAGCCTATGTCGCCGATCTGTACGTTCAGTATCAAAACGAGCTCCGGAGAGCCGTTTTATTACACCGGTACAGTTTGCCGGTCACCGGCCACCCTTTTGTGCAAAATTGTAACCGTTCCAGCAAACGTACGGCAAGATTGCCCAAACGAGTGGCTCATTTGCCCAGACGAGTGACCCTTTTGCCCAAAGGAGTGACCTGTTTGCTCATATGGGTGACCGTTATGGCTGATACTGGTGACCCACTTGAGCCGTACGGGCGACCACTTTGACTAACTCGTCACCGGTATAGCTAAACTGCTACCGGTATGAACCCGTTTACTTTCACATAAGCGCCAAGTGGTTTTCTTCTTTCAGTTGGGTAACAATTCCTTTTGTCGTTATCCGTTTTTTTTAATTCTTATCGAATAATACCACAGTCTTATTGAATACGGAGGGATAATTGCTGTTCTGGACTCGACGCATTCCTCGGTTTTTACGCCTTCGGTGAATATATTCTAGTTATTGCTAAAGCAAACACCAGAGATTCCACATATGACTGGCCCAAGTACATAACCTGTAGGCCTAAAAACAAATAAGACAAGAGGCACCAGGGAAACGCAGTGTTGTAAGAAGCGTTCAGAAGATGACGTGGATCGAAAGGAGGGGGGAGGGCTGTCTTTTTTCCGAGTTCTTTTTTTATAAAGTTCTATAATGCCTGGCGGGAAAGACTCCAAATCAAGGAGTCCAATGAAAAGAAATATCCAATATTCAATTCCTTTACTCGTCGACAATTTTGAGTCATGCACCTCTTGACTATATTAAATCTCTTGCCTCATGTCCAACGAGTCAAGTGGTCCAACGAACCAGAAGATCCAATATTAGCCCTGCCAACTCCGATACCCCGCAATAGAAGCTGCCAATATATACTTTCCCAAAATATTCCCAGATATATCTGCGAACTCTTCGCAACTGAACGAACTGTGCCTAACACGTAAAGCCTTAATCCCTCTCGAAACTCGCCCAAGAAGTGACAAATTGTAGCAGCTCCAAAAAAGACGCACAAGAAAATAAAAGAGAAGGCTTTGATACACATTTTGGGTTACCTCTGTTTTGCAATGCGAAAACCTCGACGGATCACTCTAAACATCTTTCGTCGGCAAACGATTTGTTTTAAAGGTATCAATAAAGCTTGACTGAAAATAAATTAATCTGATTTATTAATCCTGTTTAACAGTGAAATTGTCTCTGGCGAACGAAATTCGCAATGGGTCGACTTTAGATATGCTATAGATCTTTTGACTCGTCGGATCTCCTGATTCCGTGGATCTCTAAACTCGATGTACCTTTTGATTTGCTTGACCTCTTCATCTATATTACATCTCTCGACTCGACAGACCTCTTGATATGGCTTCCACACGACTCTTAATTTGCTGGATCTTTTGGCACAATGGATCTCTTGAATAGAAGCGGTACACTCTAAATCAGGTTACTCATGTTGTTACTGATGCGCACACTGTTACTCATGGTAATGAGTAACAAAATCAAACCTCTTTTTGTGATTTATTTCCGAAGCACTGGCATAGATAGCTGCCTCATGAGTAACACGTGAAAAACGAGAGCTTCATGGGTAACGAAGCGCTTCACTCGCGAATCGTTACCCATGCTTTCGCATTGTTCCTCATGCGGACTACGAAGACCTGCAAAATGTAATGCCGCTAAATCTAGCTTTTCGCGAAAAGTCGTCTACGAACAAAGAGCAGCCATGGAAGCAAAAAATAAAATAAAGAAAATAACACGGGTGCCGGGAAGCGAAACTCTCCGAGAAGGGGACGTTTGTTTGCTATAATTTTTGGAGACCGGGGACCGCTGCGGCGGGCATAACTTTTTCAAGAAAGGTGAGTACGAAGCGGCATAATCCTTGGATTCGCTTTTGTTATTCTGACCTCGGTATATCCATACAGACACTCCTCTGACAAGGCAGCCTGTACAATGTCAGTCAGGCCAGGCCTAACGAACACCGACCTCGGCGGCACCACTCGCGGCTCCTGCGCGTCCCTGGACTGCTCGTGTGGGGCTTTTGTGACCCGTGAGGACGCATTTGGATATGCGGACTGTCCGGCCGGTTGGTGCTTGATTTGTGGCCATCCACCAGCACAGCACGGGACTTTAGGTGAGTCAGTTTGTGGAAACAGGGCTGGTCTTGACCGCGTCTCACGTTGCTGCGCTCAGACTCTGTCCCGGAGCGCGCGCGTTCGGCCGGCGCACGATTCACTGAGCGGACAGGAGCAGCACCTTCGGCGACCGAAACCCGAGTGCGCTCCCGATGTACTTATTTCCATTAGGAGCACGAGTGGCTTTTTCGAGCTCAGTGACGACGCTTTCGCCTCATCTGTTTCGCTATTCTTTTGGTTGGTTTTGGTTAGAGCTCAAGCTTCTTGATCTGTCGTGCCTACGCAGCGCCAAGAGCCGACTCAGCGCGCTCCGTCGGCATCGTCACGACACGCTGGCGAAAGCCAAGCAGTCTATAGTCCGGCAAATCAAAATAATTAAATTTAAGCCCACGTTGACGCTGAGCGCAGCTATAGAGTGAGAGCGTGAAGATGGGTAGCAGCTATTTTATTAGAGCTTTGGGCACTTTGTTTCCAGGAAGACGTTCCGACAGTTGAGAGAGGATGCCCAGGACCGAAAGCTTTTCTGGGGTCCAAAACAAAGGGTATTCTCTGTCCCGGAAGCAGTCCCCAGGTGGTCAACTTACCAAGCACCTGCTCCGACCTCAAGGCGTCTGTCCTTCAGCTGGGTGTTTATTATATTTTGAACTTGAGCTATCCATCTTCCTATGGGCAGCTTTTAGGGTTTTTGCAAACATTCATTGTAAAACGGGGGTCAAGGTTCGACAGAGGTTACCAATCAGCTCGCCTCTGCTCCCTAATAAGTGCTTGCAAACAGTATTTGAAGTAGCTTAACAAATTGAGCGCTATTCTGGTTCTTGACAAGAGTACAGATCTTCCTCCTTTGCGAAATTTTCTAGTACTTTTATTTCAAAGTTCGTTTGAGTAAAATAGGCTGTAGTTCTAAGTTAGAAATTGCGACAAGCATATCATCCCGAGATGTGATAAAATTTGTTTTGAATAAAGTTCTTTCAAGTTGAGTATTGCTTCTCTCATGCCAAACAGTTATTTTTGCCCTTCCAGCAAGCCCGTCTGGCACCTGGGAGGTTGTTGGCGAATAGATTTCATCCCGCTTCTCTGCATCCACTATAAAGTTGCCATCGAACCGCCAGGCAACTTGCTGCGTCCCCATTTCCAGTTTATTTGGAGAGCAAGCTATAAGAATTTCGTCATCATTGCGGTTGAGGATCACGCGTCATCTTTAAATAATAGGTATATTAATTCCCAGGTCCGGTGGGCAAGCTGACAGCATGCCGAACCCAGTAGCACCCTCACAAGAGCTCGGGGATCAGCGCTGCTCTTAAATCCAGGCCTGCAAGAAACATTCAAAGGCGGGAAAATTTTCTCGCCACTCTTTCACTGGTCCCCTTCGCACGTAAAGGGGGGGGGGGAGTGGTGAGGAGGTTTTAAACATAGGAAACCGTTTTTGCTCATGGGATGGGTAACGTCCTGCTACTCATGGGATGAGTAACGTTCGCATGAGTAACATAATTACGCATAAATCAAGCGGCACAAAAGATGCACTTTTGTGCCGCATGTCATGAGTAATCACATTTAGAGTGTAGGGAGAGGAAGGGGGGATGATGGTGGCTTTTGCTAAAGGGGTCAAAATAATCAAGAAATCTAACCAATGGGGACTTCCGACGGTCACGTGCCAGGCAAGTCAAAAGATCCACCGAGCAGAGAGATACAATAGGGTCAACAGTTTACCATGATGAAATTAACCCGAGACTTGAGCACCACCAGCTCCCATGCGCGCTGACCATAATTTCGCTAATGATCCAGACATCTGCCAAGTCAAGCATTCAAATATTTCAAGAAACCTGGTGTTGGTGAATATAAAAAGTTAAACATGTTTACAAAACTCTGTAATACGAAATTAGAGCGCAACTTTTGAGGAGGAGGAGGGGCAAGAGAGCACTCTCTGCCCAACACCACCTATGTACAGAATGCCATAGTGCTGAATTTTGTAGCTCATTCTGAAAAGACAAGCGCGACAACGCATATCAGGCACGAGTGCTCTTTCTGCGATTGGATGGAAGTCATACTTTTACTCATTGAAAACAAGCTTCAGCCGAACATTAACGCAACACTCGCGTCTAATGTATCAATGTGTTGACCCTCGTTACGTAAGGTGCAAATTCAGCACTGCTGCTTCTTTTCTTCCAGGCTTACTTGTGTATTCCTCAACGCTGGACCACCTGGGATAGTCTTCAATCACCTCGCACGTGGTTGGACCCAGATTGGCGTTCTTCACAAGACCGGATAGGTAAGACAGACTGGCATCTCGGTCTGCCAAATCCAGGGTTGGAGGATGCGTCACGTGCACCTGCGTGCAAGTGTGAGGAATGGCGCAAAAAGAAAATTTCATTTTTTGTTGTTAATCATTGAAAACACTTAATATTAGGAACGTAATGTTCAAGGTCACGGATTAATGCCTAAAGTCTATTGAATGACTAAAAAAGGTGCAACGATGCTGTGGGTGGCCCCCTCTCTACGGCCTAAGCCTCGGGAGTCCCAACGCCGTGACACTATCGCACAAACATATCCGTCATTATCGGACCGTAGTGTTCTTTCCGAGCGTTTTTCAAACCCCATTCGTAAATGGCAGTAACAACGTTTATTACATGATAACAACATAGGTATATGCTGTTGGCTGCCTTGGAAGCGGAACTGTCGAGATTATCAAACGGACGGCATCAAAATAATTTGATCAAGGGGTATTCACTACCCGGATAGCCGGCTGTGTTCCCCAGAACATCCTTGGTGGGCTCTCCAGGCTCCTACGCGACGGCCCCAAAGCACCCTACAGGACTGCACTCAGCCAGAAAAGCGTTTCAACTGGTTTCCTCCGGTTTTCCCTAGTCTTAGTGGGATACCAGTTTTCTGTGGTCAATCAGGTGCGAAGTATCGTTGTCCTATTGTTCTGAAGCCAATGATGTCCCCCCTTGAGTTCAGAGGGAGGGCTGTCCTGTCAGAGTGTGGCACCGTCTCGAGCAAGCGAGGCACACATGTGTGTCCAATCCATCCAATCCGACACATAAGTGCTCCGAAAAGATGGCCCCTCTCACTACACGCACACCGAAGTTAGAGATCCATGTTGTAGTTTCTCCACTTACGGAGCTGGGTGGCGCGCAATTTTATCCCCATTCTTGCCTCCGCGACTCCAGTGAAATCGAAGCCACAGAGCAGCAACACTAAAGAACTCTAAAAGAAGGACCTTTCGCAACTGTGAGTTGGCCTTATCTGCTCGGTTCATGTAGGCAACAGCTTCCAATGTACTTCAAAATCCTTTATTTTAATAAATTAAACTAGGATGTGTTATATGGCGGGCACCTAACCGCTGCTTGATTACGCACTTCTGTTAGAAAGCTTCGTCACATCAAGGCTGCGTTAGCGGTTGGCTGAAACTTGTGTCTTCAGTGATTGGACACGAGCCCCAGCCGAAGGCTTGCTCAAAACTGGCGCAATATCTGTGCAGCGAGCGACCTTGCCTGCGGCATTTACTCTACACAAAATGCAGCACTACGGGTTTGTTAACGCCATTCCACAGATCATCGTTCGTCTAGGTTACGTTAGCTGGGCCTCCGATCCTGCTCGAGCAGATTCGAATTACTACTGCGGGTCAGATACTATGCATGATCAAGCAGAGCGGAGCTAAGTCCTATTGGCAACGTGTGCAATCAAAAGCGTAGCCCTGGGGTGCTATGTTGCGCTTTTTGGACTCCCAGGAGACTAGGGAGAAGGAAGTGACGTCAAAGACACAGCTAACGCAGATTGGATGTTGATTAGTCGACATCCAATCTGCGTTTGCTGTGTGGTTGACGTCATTTACTTTTCCCTAGTCTCCTCGGAGTCCAAAAAGCGCAACATAGCACCCCTGGTCGGCCTTCCTCAATTGGCAGCATGCTAACTATGACGTCAGTAAAGGTATCTCATCGGCAGAAATCAGAATATCGTAAGAACTTCAACTGGTACGGTTCAGGGAGTAATGGTTTCAGAGCGCAATGATTTCAAGCTTTTACCACTCTCACTATAAATATCAGCGAACTTGTTGTTCGCAAGGTAATGACGTCATGGGAGGGAACCATTGAAGGGCGCAAACCAAAACTTCTCGCCGCTAATAGCAGGCGGTAACTGAGAGATTTTTGCGGGATTCAACAGGTCTGTTCGATTCGGCCAGAAAGTTCTGAACTAGTTCTGTCCGAGTGCAGACGAGTGCAGGAGTCGTGCAGCGGCGGCGCAGAACCAGTGCAGCCGCCACGCTAGGACTGGCGCTGTAATCGGCTTTCCGAGCGAAAGCGCAGGGTGTCGTCCTCATCTGTTGGCTCTTGTTTCTCCACGCCACGTTGTATGCTACATTTAATTAGTCGCGGTTTGAGGAGACCATTCATGTTTCCTTAGTTTTAAAGTATAATAACAGACTCTTTTATGTGAATATTTTTTATTCGAGTGTACTAAAACGTTTTCTGTAGGAAATATGTTTCTGTCTGCGTTTTTAACGGCCGTTCGGTTCCTGTCGTTTCCGTAAGCGTTCGTGTCCTTCACATTCATTTAGCAATGGTAGATTCATTCCAAGTCTCTCGAGTTTCGCATTTCGACGATAGGTTCGCGGCATCAGGATGATTTCGCATCGGGAGTCACTGGTAGCAGACTTGGAAGTAATCCGTTACAAGTAACGGAGTTACTTGTGATTAATTACTTTTCTAGTAATTTTGTAATTAATCCATTACTTTTTTGAAAATGTAATTTGTAATGTAATTTCATTACTTTTTCAGTAACGTGTTACTGAAATTACTCGTTACAATTCTTCCACCCCGTCAAAGGGAAAAATACAGTGGAAGAAGGGCGATGCAACGGCCTTCGCGCTTTTAGCATGGTAACACAAGACGGGGGTTCGCTCGCGAAGAGAGTGCTGGCGAGGGAAAGGATTTCACGGAAACCGCGACAGCCCAGCCAGAGCCCGTTTCTGGACTACTCGTTCGTACGGTCAGCCAGGCTGGGAGGATTCGACTGTCTACACGAAGGCAACAAGCTTCGACTTGAAAACGAATGGACTGCTTCGAGCGCACAAAAAAGCAGAAAACTAATGACCCATAAAACCGTCGCGTGGGGGTCGTGAAGAGTACGAGCGTAGACACTGTGACAGCGGTGCATATGTCCGCTCCCCCCCCCCCCCCTCCCCCCCCCCCCGTCCTTTCCGCCCCACACCCTGCGTGTTGTCCCCTAAAAACCAATCAGCATTTTTTTTTTTTGCCACATGAGACCGTCCTTTGTTTGTCGATGTTCTGCCTACACACACCCTCCCCGCCGGAAAAAAAAAAAGAAAAGTGTAACGAAACCTTGATTATGTTCATTTTCGACAGCGCTATGAAAGCTAAATACTGGCTGGACCAACCAGCTTTGTGGCTTCTGTCACTTGACTTCGGACTAGCGGATGCGTAAGGCACAAGCATAAGGGAAGCGATGGCAACAGCTCATTGGAACAGAAAAAAAAAATGTAGCATCAACACTAATGTCAGTTCAAACAGTAACTTTAGACAGCAGGCGATAAGGTGGCCGGGGAGCACAGCCAAAATGGCTTGGGACCTCGAAGCTGAACCCATATTCCTAGAAACGAGAATGTTGGGGTTCTCGTCAGCGGATTGTGCCTACGGAAACTTACTCCGACATTTTAGGGAAAGGGAACACAGCCCGAGTTTTCTGAGAATAAACAGTGGCTCACTTGGACACCGTAGGGTGCCTCTTTAGTAGTTAAGGCAGCGCAAAGCGGCTGGCTGTACACGCGTGAGATATATTGAAGCCTGCTGTTCACTGAAAATTGCGCTTTTTTAATATTCTCTAAACAGAAAAATCAGCTGAGCTGAAAGATTGTGGATGAATATTTCGTGTGAAGTTTCACTTTTGATTAGTTTGATGACCAAGAAAAAAGATCCAAGTGGGTCAAGGCCGGATAACAACCTTCAACAAGCGGTACTCTGAAATCTGCCCAAACGCAAGTACCGCATGTACGTCTTACAGCCAGTTGGTTTTAGTGGCTAAACCAGCCCCTATTTAGGCAATATATGTATAGCAACCGTACAAAAACCATATCTTCAGGAGAGTCGTGTTCTAAACTTTGCCGATGCCCTATTTCGAATGGTGTGCGTGCCTCCGCCGCCCATGTGCATTCGTCTCATGTTCATGGGATTCAGTTCTGTCCCGGGTGAACAACGCTAGATTCGTTCATATCGAACACCTGTTTCAGTCCTTTACAGCTTTATAGATCCATCCTCCTAAAATTATTTTTCTAAAATAATCGGTAGATATAGTACTGAATCTGTTTTATTATTAATGGGGCCCGAAATTCCCGCTCCCCAAACACGCAGTAGATATTGCAGGTATTTTGCGTGTTTCTTTGGAGTAACGCAAAAGTAATTAAGTAAAGTAACGAAGTAATTAATCCGTTACTTTTTACGGGGAGTAATTTGTAACGGTAATCCACTACTTTTTGGGCCAAGTAATTGTAATTGTAATTAATTACTTTTTTGGAGTAACGGGCACAAGTCTGACTGGTAGTAGCGCGCGGTCGGTAGCGGTCACCTCGAAGACGAAGGTCTGACAATAGCGTCTTGACCAAGTCAGTTATCGACCGTAACTTTGGTGTCAAGCTGAAGCGTTTATTCTGATTCTCAAAAAAGACCTGCGTGGAACTACCAAGCCAATGCCGATTTTCGGCGTTTTTCCCAGGCCCTTTAAAGGGCGTCCACATACCAGCGGACAAAGCATGCAGTATTTGTGATAGACAGCCAGGTGGCGCCCCCTGCACACCTGGTATATAAAGAGCATGTCGCACGAGATTAAAACAGTTGAACACCGGGCAAGCTTGCGTGCACTCGTCAATGCCCCGCTGTCCCGCGAACTCGCCGAACATTACAGTGGCGACGAGGAAGTGGAAGTGTTGAACTGCTGCCGTCGGACCGTGCGCCTGTTCTGGAATGCCGGTGGTCGGCAAACTAGAGCCGTTTGACACTGAAATGAACTGGAGCGAGTACCGGGAGCGGGTTGAACAGTACTTCATCGCCAACAATGTCAGGGATGAGAAAAGGCGAGCTGTTTTACTTACGTGTTTTGGACCCGCCACATATTCGTTGCTTCGAAATCTTCTGGCTCCTGTGAAACCGTCGGAGGCCAGCCTAGAAACCATTTTTGAGGTATTAGGCGAGCATTTCTCACCGAAGCCTTCGGAAGTCGTCGCAAGCTTTAAGTTCAATTCACGGATGCGTCATGACGGTGAGACAGCGGCGGATTTCTTTGCTTGTCTGAACAAGCTGGCGGATGATTGCGGAT